CGAGAGAGTCCCAGGAAGAGGCTCGTGGGGTCGGGCGCGTTGGGAACGCTCCTCCGGAGGCGCCGTGTCCTACCAGGCGGGGTCTGGGCGGGAGACGGGGGCCGAGAAAAGCAACCCCACCCCGAAGAGCGGATGTTCAAAAAAGTCTCATTTAACCCGAAGAAACTCACTTCCCCACCGAAGCCATGAAAAGGAATCAGAGGCTTGGATGCCAGTTCAGCCCGGAGAGAACCCGATGAGATGACGTTCGTTAGAGCTCTTTGGAAACGAAGTGCTTTACGAGTAAACGTGGTTTTCCGGCCCTAAACAATTTAACCTCGTCCCCACTGCTTGGTGCGGCGGACACTTGGGGACGTCCGCGGACACCTCTCGTGCGGGCCGGAGCGCAGCGAGCCGGGGGCGGGGGGGGAGCCTGGGGCCCAGGGCGCCGACGCGAGCGGGGCAGAGGGCTCGGGGTGCGGTGGGGGACCATGGGCAGAGCCAGGCCGGAGCTGGACAGCCGGGGTCAGCCGGCCCTGACCTCAAAGCCGGCAGAGATCGCGTATGAGGAAACATTGGAGGATGACACATCACTACTGGGTTCGACCAAGAAGTATTTATTAGAAAAGTGCCTCCCGTTGTGCCATGCTGTCACTTCCCTCCCGCCCTAGAGAGGAACGAAAAACATGATGCAGAAATACTCTATGATGTCTATACTCTGTGCTAATGCTTCACTAGGTGCTAGCGATTTAGTAGAACCCGCCGAATCCTTGCCCTCGGGAAGATTACCTTTTGGTGAGGAAGACGGAACATAAAGTGGCAAGACCAAGTATGTAATGACAGATGAGAGTAACAAACAGTAAAACGAGTCAAGGGGAGAAGAAAGATTCATGCTCTAAGAAGTCAGGGAAGTGTTTGAAAAAAGATGTGGAAGAAGTAGGAGCTGTTCGCCAGGAAGAACATTCCAGACAGGGAACAACTTGTGCTAAATTGTCTGGCCGCGGTCACATAATTTAATCTCTAGAGGTCCAGTTTCCTTGACCGTCATATTTAATGGGCCAAGCACTGTGAAAACTGCTGACACCTGTACACCAGGTGATCTCTAAGATTTCCCACCACCTTTACTAAGCTAAAAATTGTGTTCATCTTAGAGTTTTAACGCTAGGTACGTTTTTCTAATAATGCTTTTTAAAAAGAGGCCACTATCTCCTTGGAAAGTCCACCTGTTCAAGAAAGAAAAGTTTAGCTGCACCTCTAATCTTATCGGGGCAGTCATTCCAAACACTGGATGCACTATTTCCATTTCCTTAACTCTGCATGCCTTTCCAGCCTGGTTCTCATCTCTGCGGCCCTACCAGAGTCGCACAGGAGGTGTATTCGGTGAAGTTCTTCCTGGTTTCCCCTGCTCTGTTGAGTATTAGTGGTGCGAGAGGCCATGCTTGTCTTGTTCCGTATCTGGGGGAAAGCATTGTCTCATCAGAAGCATAATTTAGCATTAGGGTTTCTTTTTTGTGGATGTTCTTTATCAGGTTGAGGAAGAACCCCTTTATCCCTGTTTTCCTTCGAGTTTTTATCTTGAGTGAGATTGTGTCCCATTCTTTTCATGCAACAACTAATAGCATCTTTTGAGTTTTTCTTCTTAGCCTGTTAATATGGTGGATTACATTCACTGACTTCCAAACACTGAAGCTGCCTTGAATTTCTGTTATAAAACCCCACTTGTTCGTGGAATATCATTCTTTTTAATATTGCTGGGTTCCACTTACTAGTATTTTATTGAGGGCTTTTTGTGTGTCTATGTTCACAAGGACCATTGATCCCTAGTTTTCTTTTTTGTACTGTTATGGTCTGGTTTTGTATTAAATTAATCCTAGCATCATAAAATGAGAAGTAAGGGGTAAGTATTCCCTCATCTTCTGTTTCCCAGAAAAGACTGTGAAGAATCAGTGTTAATTCTTCAAGCACTTGGTTGAATTCTGTCGTGAAATCATCAGGGCCTGGAGATTTCTTTCTTTCTTTCTTTCTTTCTTTCTTTCTTTCTTTCTTTCTTTCTTTCTTTCAGAGTATTTAATATTACAAATTGAATTTAGTGGTTACAAAGGTATTCAAATTATCTATTTCATATGGGACTGGATTTGGTAGTTTGTGCTTTTAGAGGAATCTGTCCATTTCATGTAAATAGTTAAATTCATGGAGGCGCCTGAGTGGCTCAGTCGGTTAGGCTTCTGACTCTTGGTTTTGGCTCAGGTCATGACCTCACAGTTCATGAGACTGAGCCCCTTGCTGGGCTCTGTGCTGACAGTGCAGAGCCTGCTTGGGATTCTCCCTCTCTCTCTGCCCCTGCCCCTGCCCCATTCGTTTGCTTGCTCTCAAAATAAATAAACTCTAAAAAACCAAATTGTTGAATTTTTGTGGGTAGAGTGGTTCATAGTATTCTCTTATTATCCTTTTAATATTCCTAGTTTTTTCGTAGGTATATTTTTAAGTAGGTTTCACAGGGAACCTTCAAGTCAACACATTATTATAACCCTGATGGAATATGCTGAATTTTTAAACCTTGGAACCTGATAGAGTGTTACATGTGTACATTTAATAGGTGTTTTTAGGCTCACGTTCAAAACTTAGAGGTCACTTTACTAATATTTATGTTGGGGAACTAACTGGTATTTGTGCGTTTACTGGTTTCTTTAACTGGAAATGAGTCAGTAACATCAACAGGACTGATTAACAAATAACAGAAATGTAATCTCTCCTGTTCTCTTTCATTTTGTCAACCACTTTTGTGTGCATCATTATGGGCTCGTGACTGCTCATCAGCCAACCTCTGCCAGTATTCTGCTTTGATGTTCAAGTTGTCTCACTCAGTTTTGGCCAGCAAAACTGTACACGACTTGAAGCATTAGCCCCTCTTATGGGGGCGCCTGGGTGGCTCAGTCGGTCCTTGATTTTGCCTCAGATCATGAGCTCACGGTTCATGGGATCAAGCCCCTAGTCAGGCTCTGCACTGACAGTGCGGAGCCTGCTTGGGATTCTCTCTCTTCCTCTCTCTCTGCCCCTCCCCCACTTGCCGTGTGTGTGTGTGTGTGTGTGTGTGTGTGTGTCTTTCAAATAAGTAAACATTTAAAAAATGATAATAAAACATTAACCCCTTTTTAGATGAGTTTCTGTGTCCCATCATCTCTATTAAACTTTGAGCACTGTGCTTTTTGGCACACGGAGCTATCCCAGGCTCATTTCGTACTGTTCTGTCTCAGACATGGGGTTAACCTTTTCTCCAGAAAGCTTGGTTCCTTTTACTGGAAGAATGGTATTGGAAACCAGAATCTTGACACAAGGGTGCATCATGGGGGGCTTCCTGAGGCCACCTTGATCTTCATAACTAGCATGATCTTTAATAGGTGTTCTTAAGGTCATATGATTTACTAATCCTCCTTGTGTGTCTGCAAATTTTAGTCCTTTTGAGGAGACGAACAGGAAGCCCCCACATGTCACAGAACAGGCATTGGACCTCTCACAGCCCTCAAGCACTGAAAGCTAATGGAAGGCACCACTGAATCACAGGGGCAGGAAATGTGGCCATTGCCCCCACTCGGTCATCGGAGACCCCTGTCCCTTTAAAACCCTCTTAGCTAGGCAGAAACCACAGAGTTGGCTTTTGGACCAGAGGCCACCTTCTTCCCAGGCGGTTGGCTTCCTGTGTAAAGCTCACATTCCTTTCAATCAACACCCATGTCTTGAGTATTAGCCTTTTTAGATGGGCAACCAAACGTGAGATTTAGTGACACTCTTAAACCATGTCAGTGGACAGAAGTAGAAAAGATGCCCGTCGTAAATCACTTTTTCATGTACAGATACAAGTTCATAGTGCTATTTCCAGCCCAGTTCTAATAGGACAGCATTCCTTCTGAAACCCTTGATTCTATAGTTAGATCTCCTTTTCTCTTATAATAAGCATCTTGATCCCTCAGCACATAAATACGATCACTTACTTGCTTTATTTGGCAATATGGGAAAACAAATTCAAAAGAACAGTTCAATATGGATATAAAACCTACAATCACGAAAATTCACAATTTCTCTAGTAGGATTTGCAGTTAGTTTGCTACATTCCACAGTTGACTCATGTCCCACTCTGGCATCTTTGGAAGTTTCTCCAGTGAAAGTTTGGGTCCGCTGTTTGAGCTTATTTTCACTTTGCGGGTTTTGACATCCTAACAGCTGCTAGTTCTGAATACACAAAACAAGGTGGCTCTCAGCTACTAGGAGAGAGATGGTCTACTTCTACATCGAGACAATGGAAAGAACTTCAACTCACTCTCCAAAATTGTCTAAGTTGGCTTTTTTT